TAGTTGTTTACTCTGCTTCTTCACTCGTCATGAGCATGCACTACTTTTCCTCTCAGATGCAGTAAAGCTGTGACGACTTTTGCTCGACAACCCACTCTCCTTCTCATCCTGAGACGGAGGACGCGTGGCTTCGACATGGCGTAGAATGGCTTACTCTCGAAATATTCATTTTGACACAGCTCTATTGATTTTTCTGTCTAATACTGGATAGATGACAGTTGTCTCAAACTTGAATTTCGAGAGTAAGCCATTCTACGCCATGTCGAAGCCACGCGTCCTCCGTCTCAGGATGAGAAAGGAGAGTGGGTTGTCGAGCAAAAGTCGTCACAGCTTTACTGCATCTGAGAGGAAAAGTAGTGCATGCTCATGACGAGTGAAGAAGCAGAGTAAACAACTATTGGCCTGTCTTAGATTAGATGATTAGTATTGCACTGGAGAACACGATAGGGGAAGGAGAGGGCGGTACTGAGGGGAATTTTGAACATCCCTTGAGATACACTTGACATGGAATTATGCTGGCGCAGAGTGACTTGCACCGGGATAAATGATCTTGCTGATTCATATCCAATCAGTACACCCTTATAATAGACCAGTCGGCTCGCCGGCTTACGCCGGCGCGTCTCCTTCTGATACGGCCCGGCTGCGCCGGGCGGGCGCGGCTTCGCCGCGCGTATTTTCTTTCACATATTTCTAGACTCAACTGATATCCGCCTTTTGTTCTGTACTCCACTTTTTTCCGGTGTCTGAAGTACTCTTGAGCTATTTTACAGATTCTTCGTCTGACTCCGCCCACCTCGGAGCAGGCCCCGCCCACAATGTTTGTGCCCTACAATCTTCACCGGCGACCCTCTGCTGACCTTAATCCACTTTTTTCCGGTGTCTGGAGTGCTCTGAAACTATTTTACAGATTTTTCGTCTGGCTCCGCCCACCTCGAAGCAGGCTCCGCCCCCAATTTTTGTGCCCCACAATCCTCACCGGCGACCCTCTGCTGACCTTAATCCACGTTTTTTCCGGTCTTTGAAGTGCTCTGGGACAGTTTTAGAGAATTTTCGTCTGGCTCCGCCCACCTCGGGCTGGCCCCGCCCACAATATGTATACCCCACATTTCTCAATCGGCGACCCCTTGCTGACCTGAATTCACTTTATTCCGGTCTTCGGAGTGCTCTGGAACCGTTTTACAGACCTTTTTGTCTGGCTCCGCCCACCTCGGAGCAGGCTCCGCCCACAATGTTTTTGCCCCACAATCCTCACCGGCGACCCTCTGCTGACCTTAATCCACTTTTTTCCGGTGTCTGGAGTGTTCTGGAACCGAGCTACAAACTTTTAAAATGAATACCCTGCGATTCAAGCTCCGCCCACTGTGGGCGGGTCTCAACACACTTTGAGCGTGCCCTATATTCGCCAGATATTTACATTCTACACTGAGTTTTTTGCGACTTCCAAACACTCTCGCGAACCGGGTTACTGAATTTTGCGAGAAGCACCGCCCACCTTGAGTACGCCCCGCCCATTTTGGATGTGTCTGCCACAGTTAGTCTGGCGACTCCTTACTAACCTTATTCCCTTTTTTCCCACCTTTAAAGGCAGTTGGCACGATAAATCGCTATACAGGTGTAGGATTTGTACAACTGGCTTAACAGAATTCCGTGACCTCGGACAGGCGCTGCGTGAAGCCTTTTCCAAGGAGGGTACCTCTATAACGCCCTATTGAGCAACAACTTTACGTCCCAAACGCCTTCCTTGCCCGCCCGCCCACAAACGGACGACCGTTTCTGACGCTCGTATTCATTCATTTGCTAAGCAAATTATGAAGCGAAGGGATTGGTATGAAGCGGCCGTGATGCTGCATGCATACATGGGTACACATATGCAGCCGTATCTTCGGTAGCGGTGATTGGCAAGATGCGTACGGGAAACTCGTCCGAAATCGATTTACAAGTCACTGAGAACGGAGGCTTTTTCTTCGCCGGATTTTGACCGTTTCACTCCGTTCTTTCGCCATTTCCCCACTATACAGCGCCCTACTAGCATTTTAGGCTAAGTAGGAAACCATCGTGCCAACTGCCTTTAAGCTGCTCCGGAAGCGAATTATGAACATTTTTCTGCGGAACCTCTCTCCAAGTCGTTCTTCAGGTCGAACCGAATTTCCGGACAGACAAACAAATTTGCAAACAACAAACAGACGAAGCGAATCATACAGGGGGGGCCAAAAAAAAGTCATTTTGCCTCCATGACTTTCAAGGCGCTATAAGTTACACTTTATTAAATTTTTATCGGACATTTTTACTACCATATTAAAGAGCACATTAAATACTATAATGATACTCCGCCACAGCCTTCTGGAGGAGCGCCATCGAGAGATTCGGCCGCGCGAAAGTGAGTGGGTACCGGAGTTGAGCGAGATCGTTGATTTCTCCGCCACTGTAGACCACCCTGTTGAGCTCCGCCCGAACTAGGTAATTGAGTGGGTTCAGGTCAGGGGACATATTTCAATATTACATCTTCATCAGGTACGAAACGCCCTTCCATTCGAAGTAGGCGGGAGTTTTTCCAAAACCCTTCGATTCCATGTGGTCTCCAAGAAGGTACGGGCGACCACATGTAGGGAGGATATCCTTCTCGAGTTACTTGATGTAACCGCCAGCGCTCACCTTCAGTCGGGGTCTACAAAGAAAATATCGGTCTTCCCATTCCAGGTACGGCCGGTCCACACCATCAACCCGCGCCTTGGTGAATGGGGTGAAGATGATGTCCTGGACCGTAGCGACGTTGCCGGAGCTGCTCGATGTTGGAGGTCTTGCAGATCAAGAGTACTGGTCTCCAGGTAGCTATCCATGGGTGATTCCATTCAAGAAGTTCCGCAGCTGTTTGGAACGTGAATTCCAAAGGCGTTCTCCACTCAGGCCGCGACTGGAGATGACTTCATATTTTGGTGTACATGAAGGTGAATGGCGGCAGCCGGCTCCTGCTTATAGAGGAAGATCTTGGGTATCTTCCGCCCTGGTACTCATATCCACTTCCTCTGTCTGGGCTGCGAAAACTTCGCTCATATGTGACTCGGCCGGAATGACTTTTTTTCCCCCCCCCTGTATATATGGGTTATTATCAATCTATTAGTGGTAGTTTTAGTGCAAATAGACGTTTTCATACTGTTTTTCAATGTGTCCATAGGTCCGCTTAAAATTACCACTGTGGGTGGCTCGCTGCAGATGAAGGGGCGTTTCAGGCAGTATGAATGTCCACAACTCGTCCTCTGTCACCTATTGAAGCTTGTATGCGGCGCAACTGGTACAAAACGAATAATACGAACGATATGACACAGCCTTGTAACTTGCTCGCTAACTGGTGGAGAACGGGTTTGGCAGCTTGCCAAATTCATCACGTCTGACACGCACCTTCGTCCGCAGCGAACTAGACCTTGTACTGTCGAGGCAATTCTAAGCATAATCACACATTCCTCGTCCCACAACAATATCAATATGGGGCACTGGTTGCAAAAAATTTTCAAGACAGGTAAACTCTTTAGCTAAAAAAAACCAACCTGGTATAATAATGTCGCCTAGGCCAAGAATTGTCATGTGGAAGCCTTTCTCAATATCTAGATCAACACATGATATCATCGGATCAAACTGTGGCACTTGCATTAACATGGGAAACTGAAAAGAAGCGGGTCAATGGGAGGTGCTATTTGACTATCTGAAACCTTTACTTACTTTTTCAGGTAACTGTGCATCTACAGGAGGCATAGGGTAATCATCATTACCGCTGCTTGAGCAATCAATACCTGTTGCCACTTCCAACATCACAGAGCAACCACTACTAGTGAGGAATGGGGTAACGAATACCATCACCACATCGTAAACGAACATGCATAGCATCAGCACTGAGATCCACTGAAAAGCAAACTTATCTCACAAATTAAAGCGCGAATTAGATCACTAACGTTTCTTTCTTTCAATAGGGAGAAAAACGGAATTACCTTCACGCTGGGTAATCGTAGCGACTTCAATATGTGAAGACAAAGTGTGACATTGATGAAGTCCAAAAGTATGAATGCGTACGGTGTACGGCGGTAAATAAACCATATGACACAAATGCCAAATGACAAAGTAAATACTATTAGTTGAACCACAGTCGGTCTCCCGTCAGGAATACAGCCTATAATTCCAAGTTTTGAGGTATTGGTTTCTTTCCGCTCTTTTGCTTTTGCAGTCAAGCTTCTGGAAATAAAGCTGTACTGGGTTGAGGAAGTGTCATTGCGCTTCTGATTACAAAACAAATTTCATTGTAACTTCGAGTAATAGTTATCCCTCACAAAAACGCGTTTTGCTGTGAGCTGAAGATCTTGAACATCCAGATTTGGACATTGATGTGATAAAATCCAATGAGTATTGACGGACCGGAAAAATGAACTCCAGATGGGGCATACCAGGGCTATATGGCATGTGAGAAAGAATCCCTCTCCCCACCTCAAGTTCTTTCATGTGGAAAAGGGTTCCCCGCTAATCCGCTCTCATTTTGTCTTATTTGCATCATCTGGGTCAAGGCCGTCGTGGAAGCTGCCCTCGTCACTTCACTGGCTGAGTGTACACCGTAGTTTCCATACGATTCGTTTCACTGGCAGAGACATGGGTGAGTCTTCTGGCCCAACCTGAGTAGTACCACCAGCTCCCTGGCGACTGTTGGAGGTGGACTGCGACGTTCGTTCTCCTTACCGAACGTAACTTCCAACAAGCGTTAGCGAAAGTCTTCGTTCTCTAATCTGGCGAACCCAGTACAAATTGCCGGATCATCAGTATCAGGGCCTCCCACGTTCTCCCCGAAGATAACTTTCAGGCTGTGTTCATTTCTTTCCGTCAGCGTCACCAGCGTGCGGCAGCTTTGCGAGCGAACGCCAGTGCCGACGACTAGGAAAGCATAGTATCGCTCGATCGAGCGATGTACCGTCCACCAGTGTATGCCATCGTCCACCAACATCCAGTGTGGAAAGTATGGGGAGCATGAGGGTAGCAGGCAGTTGGAGTAGGCGTCGTGTTCAACCGCACCGTACAACTGCTAAAGCACAGAATTGTGCAACAATGCTGTATGGTGCAGTGCAATTCTACGGTGCAGTTGCACACGCCACAATTTCACGACGCGTAATCCAGGTGTCTGCTACCCTCCTACTTCCCCATACTCTCCACTCCTGACACGCTGGCAAACGCTGGTGGATGCTTGCGTTCGCTGGATCGATATCTGTACTTTCGTGGTCGCTAGCGCTGGCGTTCGCTCGAAACGCTGCAGTACGCTGGTGAAGCTGCCGCAAAATATGAAGCATGAAGGCGGCCTCAAGGGTGTCTCGCTCTCATGTAAAGTCGCAGTGCACGTGTGTGCACCTAAAGAGCCCCCAAATCAAAATGATAGAGGTATAGACCGATTTTTTGAAATGTGCCCTGCCAAGATATCGTGATGGCATTGTCAGGAGATAAACAAAGACTGAGGAAAAGGAAAATGAAGACGGCGCGTACAAATACTCCCTCAACTTAATACATCTCAAGAATCGCCAAGTCGTCGAAAAATGGAGTACACTAACGCCTATTTACAATAAAGTGTTCCTGAAACGATAATTGAAAAAACTCACGATGATGAGGAATCCAAGTGAACAACGTTGAATAACAGCATTCGCAGAATGACATATTTGAAAGCACTGCCATTATACAAGCATAGACACTTATTGATCCAAACAAAACCAGCATCACGTTGAAAAAAGTAACTAAAATACC